TACTTTTATCAATTACTAATGGAACTACTCCCCACCATCTTTCCGCTTCGTCAGCGCTGCTACGACCCGATGGTTTTCGGACTGCATTTCTCCCGTGGATGTCGTCTCAAAAACTTTCAACAAAAACTCTTATTGCCGGGACCTGGTAAGGAAAAACTGGATTAATCCAGCTGCTAAATATAGAAAAAATCCTCTAACACGTGGTGTAGCCTGAATCTATGTTTTCGGTCCTAGATACCGAAAACTCGATTGCCGGCAAAACGTGTCTGTCCGTCTGGGCACAACGCTAGGGCGTAAACCGATCAGCCGATTTTCTCCAAAATTGATATTTCTGTATCGTTCTAGCTGATGTCGCGAACCCTGGAATTTGAAATCGATATTTTAAATTTGGGGGTACTTTACATTAAGCCACTGGAACATTTTCAAAATTCTCAAAAAAATTACTCCAAATTCTTTGATTAAAATATCTTGTTGAATCAGGCAAAGAACGTTTAAGAGAGTGGTCTAGGTTTCATTTTCGTTAACATCCCCGATTTTGAAAATTAAAAAAAAAAGAATTGAAACTTCAGAATTGAAGATAGAGATTTTGTGTCAGACAAAGTCTGTTGTATAAAATGTGCTCTTCAAAAAGGTCAAGTACATTTTTTAAAATCTAGTAGTTTTAGCGTATGTTGCGGTTGAAATTTACAAAACAAAATTCTAAAAATTCGCTCCTTTTTTTCTTTAAATTTTCTTCTCATAAGCGATACAGAACAGTAAGAAATATGGCGTTAGTCTCAATATCAATATAGTCTCAATAAGAGGCAATACAAATATGGTGGTAGTCATATTTTCTGGTATTGCTCGTGTTTGTTAACATTAAAAATCATTTTAAAACTACAAAACCGAAGATAGATATTTTTGCTTCAGACAAAGTCTGTTGTACAAAATTAGGTCTTTAAAAAAGGCCTAATTACAATTTTTTGAAAAAACGAGTCATTTTGCCTGATATGCGATTAAAATTTACAAATCATTTTTTTCTCAAAATCCGATCAAAATGTTTTCTTTAAATTTTCTCCACATATGCAATGCGGAAAGGTAAGTAATATGGCGCTAGTCTCATTTTCTGGTATTCCTCATATTTTTCGAAAATTGCAAAATTGAAGATAGATATTTTTGCTTCAGACAAAGTCTGTTCTACAAAATTAGCTCTTTAAAAAAAGTCATGTAAAAAAAGTCACGAAAAATATTGAATGAATGATGAAAAATAATGAATTTAATTTTAATTATAACTTACTATTGAAGAAGCCAAGATCGATTCTTTTGTTGTTTCTGGCACTTTCAGTTTTCTTAATTCTACAATTTGTATTCTCAATGTGTTTGTGTGTGAGAACATAAAGTTGATGGTCTGCCGACGGTTTAAAGGCTTTCATTGTTTCTTGATACCAGAGGAGAATGAACAAAAAAAGAGCTGTGTTATTTAGACCGTCTTTCATGAAATTATAATATTGTCCAGTTTAAGATATCGTATACCTGTTTATTGCAAGCAACGCCACCTAGAAACTGTATATCTAGGGGATAGTAAATTCAGGTGATTATTAATTTATTAATTGATTTCAGTGATAAGATGGTAATTATGTATTAATTGAATAATTCCAAAAGTAATATTTGGTTATGTATTTGGACAATTTTTTAACTTGAGCGCTTCTTTCGCACCTTCGAGACCACTCTAATTTATATTATTTATCTTGATGGATAAGCGCGCGGTGTTGCCGATTATGCAATTTTTTTAATTATAATATGCAAAATAAAAATGGGCTATTATATCACTTATTAATGTTTATTGATTGTCTATTTAGTTGTTATTAATTTTTCGTGTCTTTTAATTAGAGACAAGCATTGGATAGATTAAACCAGAAACACATATATTTGTCAACGTATATATTTGGATTCCATGGTCACCACACTCCGAGACACTTGTAGTAATTTCGCCTAATATGGCATGTCTGCATTGCACTTAAAAGCTCCAGTTTTTCTGTTGCATCAAAACAAAATATTTGGAGTTAATGGTTAAGTCAGAAATTACAAACGAATTGAAGCCAGTGACATTCGTTATGATGTTTACGTCTGATTTTTTTCGATTTTTGTATTTTAAAGAATGTAATGCGGCAGGACTAAGAAATTATTTGTCAGATTACTACGTTTTACTCAGTAATAAAGTGATTAACATTAACATTATTTTCAAAATAGGTGTTTTCGAGGCGATGAGAAATATTAAAACAATTGTTTACAGTAATGAATTTATATTCAATGGCATTTATTTCTAGATGTTCCTTTTTTGTGAAATTATCCTTGCTTGTCTGTATGATGTTCTGGAAATAAAAAAAATATTTATAATAAGTTTCGTTAGTGTACTACTACATTTTTTTCAAAAAGCTAACTTACGAACTTGACAGAGATGATGAAACGTTGAAATAATTGTATGTATTCGAAACAAGGAATAGTGTTCCATAAAGAACACTTCAGAAAAACTTAGTAATGCAAACTGAAGAACAGTTCTATCTATGGCAAAAATGGCACTTTTAGCAAAAGTTGATAAGAAAATATGTACCCATTGTTGGCAACGCCCATCGCTGCATGCGCGCTTTGTTGTCAGCGCTCATTGACTGACATGTGTTTATATAGACAGAAGTGCGACAAAGGTACACATCTCCAATTGACCTTCGCAATGTTCGGGAAGCGCGAAGTTGGCCTTCTAGGAATGTCCCGCAGATGAGCGGTACTCGGAGTCCCTGGTAATTTTTTAAGACGCCTTTAGATACGGAGACGAAGTGGGGGAAATCGAAAAACAAGCCCGGTCTCGAGAAAGTAAGAAATAACCGACTTGTTCATTAGCAACGCCGCTTCAAGTCCAATTGTGTCTAAATAAAAATGGATTTCAGTGTAGTGAACTTGGAGGTATTATTCACTTTAGTAGAAGAAAGGTAAGAACTGAAGGAGAAACATGTTAAATTAAGATCCAATACTGAAGCAATTAAAACATAAAGATTGCATTCAATTAAAAAATTGTTTTTCAAGTCACAGCGTTTCGGCGAGTCTTGTTGCTGAAATGGGGTTCTTATGTGGATATATCGCCGTATATACGCCACTATTTCCCCCAGTATTTTGTCTAACCTATCCTCAAACGTAGATATTGACATAGGACATAATTAAAGTTTTCCTTTCAATACCCGCCAGGTTACGAAACAGAACAAAAGCACCTGATATAGGCTTTAGGTGAAACGCATTTCGGCGTCATTCAGTGACCTTCCTCAAGGCGAAATGACTTTCACCCTGAGGAAGGGCGTAGTGTGGCTGCCTTAATGTTGGCAACTATGCCTAGGACGCGGCGTCTCCCGAACAGTTGTTTATAGACTGCCGAGACTGACCGCGGAAGCCTACGCTGTCAGATTATCGATACTGGCTAAATAGCTGGGTTAAATCCAACCACTGTCTGAAGACGAATTCTGGTGGCGGACTGCTCTGATCGTGAATTTCCGTGTGTTTTTTTTTTTCAGTCAGTACCTGGTGAAGATCGAAGCGGTATCTTAATAAACGGGCCACGGACCACACGCGATCTTTCCTTTCTTTCGCACACTTGCATTTACACACTCTACAGTAGCACAGATGTTGAGAGTCAATTAGAGGTATTTCCGGCTGGGAGGAGCCGCGTTGAAGGGGTACCTGAAAGTGGAAAAAAAGTAAGTATTTTTTGGACCTCGTCGTATCTCATGTTGGGGTGGGGCAGTACCTTCCGGGTTATAACAAGCACTACTCTCAAGAGAGTAATGAAAAGATAATGGAATTTATTGTAGTCAAAGAAGCAAAATATGTACGTATGTGTATATTATTTAGAAAATATGAAAGACAAAATATTAAATATATAAATATGTAAAGTAAAAATTCATTATATATTTAAATATGTATTTGGATTTATATATATTTAAAATTGCTCTAAACAACCATTTTCCGATAACAGAACGTCGCCGATCATATCTTAACATGTATTCGGAACTGCTAAAAGGAAGTTCTACCTCGACAGAAGCATTTTTAGTATTGTAGTAGTACTTGTAATTGTACTAGTCTTGACTGATTTCTTCAAAATATGAAATACGTTCGTAGCATATACAATGTTTAATAGGAAACGGTGCTAATGTAGTACCCTGTAGCCAGTGACGGAGGAGAAGAAAGCGAGGAGTGGAGGGAACGTACCCCTTCAAATCCAACAATGCGATGACCCAAAGAGCTGTAAAGAAATATTTGTTATTTTTCTATTGAGTTACGAATGTGCTGCTTCAAACATGAGCAAGCACTGGTTGAAATTACTTCCGCTTCGCAAACATTAATCGTTAATCCTTAATTCCGAGTAAGAGGTTTCCATGAAGAATAGGGGGGGGGTAGTTTCGACAATTCATGGTCAAGATACGGTGGTCGTAGAAGCCCAGTAGCATTACATTGCTTTGTGAGAATGATGATTCCGTAACATATGTTACAAACGCGCATCTGAAATGTTCCTTTTCGACATACAAATATATTAAAATATAGTCAAATGTGCAAGAAATATGTAGTAAGAGGTAAAATAGGTATGAAAAATATCTAATTATACCAAATATGTAAAATTAAAATGGTTCTGATTCATTAAGAATGTCTTGTTAACTCTAAAAATATACTGTAATTGAATGCAGGTATCTTGTTCTTATAAAACCATGTTATCCGTTACGTGAAAATCAGTTCCCTGGTAATAGACCATAGGAATATTGATGCGCCCGGAAACAATATTGATTAAAACCACTCTTCGAAATTCCTGCTTTGAGATCACGTACGGATTCCTGTGATCATCGGAAATTCTGTATCGCAATCTTGCGCGAGCCGTGTCCGTGAATCTGCGCGAGAGGGGCCTTATCAGCGCGCCTTATCAGCGCGCCGCGCCGCACCTCGAGTAGCCCATTACTCGGTGTGACTGGGCCAAGAGCAGGCGGGCGATGGAGGGCCACAGGGGCGCTCTGGCGCTGGTGCTGGTGACGGCGGTCGCTTGTGGAGGCGTGCGGGCTTCGAACTCCGACCCCCAGCATCTGCTGCTTCTGTTGGACTCTTCCGCCAGCATGTCCTCGCAGGTGAGGGAGCGGACACTCTGAATTTGGGTCACGGCGTGGCCGGAGGCAGTTATCAGCTGGGTGGGCTGCGATCAGCTGGCCGCAGCTGGAGAGAGGTGGCGAGGGCGGAATTGATACTTGACTGTTCCCTTGCGTAGCAGGAAACCACCTCTTGAGAAGAATATTTGCGTAACTCAAAAATCACTAATGAGTGATTGCGGGGGGTGTCTACAGCTAAGGTCCCCTACGTGTAGTGTATTTATTATTGAGGAAGGTGGCGGTGATCTTCCCCGATGATGAACTGCGAATGGAAGGGTGTGAATAACATGAATCCTGAGAAACAGAAATACTACAGATGGTGAATGAAAGATCAACCTCAAGAAACTGCTTGAGAAAACGTTAATGCAATTTTTTCAAGATGACAAATATGTTTGAATTGACATTATTGTAATTACAGACCAACAAAACCGTAAACGTACTATACGTAAATATATTTCCTACTTGAACAAAAATTGATTCATGGAAAAAGTTGCAGGAATTGCTTCCTTAATGTTTGTGCACATCGTTTCCGTTTTCCGACTTTTCGATTGTACATTCTTCCCAATTCATGGAGAGCCAACAATAAAATTAAAAAATTAATAATTAATAAATTCAATAAATTCAATTTCATTCAATAAAATTAAGAATTCTGGGTAAATCATAAAACACAAACTTATGCGCGATTAATTCACATTGTTGATGTGAACGTGCAAGCTAATGTTCGGTCAGAAATATCGGGAACATATGAGGATTGAAATGTTATCAAGTGAGATATATTTCCGTAAACTTGTAGTTTGAGGTATAAATTGGAGATATTCTAAACAAGAAGCATATTTGTAATTATTAAAGCATTGGTTCTAAGCAAGGATAAAATGTTTATAATTATTAAAACATTGATTCAAAGCAACCAAATGAGGTATTTGAAGTAACTGAACATACTTTTTAGATAAGGAACCATTTTAATTCTCAAACGTGTTGCGTCCAGTTGAAAATCAAATGGGTTTACCAATTTTATGCGCATTGTTGTTAACTTGTTTTAATTGTATAACATATAAATTTATCTGAGCTGTTAGTTGTGTCTGTAATTGATAAATGACATTACTCCGGCTAATCGATCAGTAGGATGTTGCTATGCTCTTCAAAGCACGATGTTACATTGCACGCGAAATTTAAATTTTCAGTAGCAACTTAGTAATTTAATATTTTATTCACAGTGCGGATTTGTAAAATGATAACTAATCAAAATGAGAACAAAGACGAAACTTACAAACTGAAAAGTAAACTGGTAAAGCAATATTTTTAATTAACTGCGAATATTGCGAATAATTTAAACATACACTTCTGATTGATTCGACCAGTGATCTCGCCAGAGAGTAAATGCTGAGTGCAATTTGGCCAATAAACACTCCTATTTCTATCAATTCCTTTTGTAGAATAAACAGTGACGAATCGAAAATCATCCTCGCTTACGGAGCACAGTTTGAATGAATTCTAAGAAATCAACGCCCACGTCTGTTTCTCTCTTTTTCTCCGTCTCTTCGCTTACTCTCTCTCTCTCTTTCAGCTCTAGCACAGAGACGTTTTTCACACCACTACAAAAAGTGCATTTGGATTGGCCCTACATTTTTTAGCTTTTTTTCTCACCTTGAAATGAGTAAGGAGGTGGTCAGGCTCACTGACTGCTATGTGCGTCGGTCGGTATTCGAATCTAACTCAAAACGGATTGAGACAACGGATACAGAGCGAGGACCCTAGATTAGGATTAATTGTAACCGTGGAAGGATTAATGTACATCAAAGTCTCTAGGAAGAGACGGTTCCTGGCATCCCATGTCAATTCGCCCTCAGTTTCTGCTGAATATTTTCTACTTTTATCGCGACAGGTGTCGTGCTGGCCTCCTAGGACGGCAAGGAATGTGCAACATCGGACGTAACTCGTTTTTCTCGAAACGCTGAGTCAGACGAAATGCGATCAGCGGTCGTGACTGCGGGCGAGCGACGTGCGCTCACATTTAATGCGAATACGCGCGAGGCTACCGCTGCTTCTTTTAAATAAGAAAACCAGAAATCGTCTGTAAACAATCATTTGAAAGACATCTGCGGGACATGAGCATCTGAGTGTAGCGCTCATGGCATCAGTCTCACATAATAAATTAATTATTGTAGTATTCCATTCATTTGAGAGTAAGATTACTGTTCAATTAAGGATCAACAACAATATATTTTAAAGGACGTTTATCGATTTCGCGTATCTAAACAATGTCGATTGACTCTGCAGCAACACAGCAAATGATGAGATAGCCCCTTGTTTTTCTTCTCGACATAAATGTCATTTCAAATTAACTCCTACCCATTGCACGTCACAGTTTGTAACATTTTTGACGTAAGTAAGAAAGTAAAGAAACAGAAACAAATAATAAAAAAATATTAATAAACAATACAAAAAGAATAAATAAATAAATGAATAAATGACTGAATGAGTAAATGAATGAATGAGTGAAGGTACATGGATAAACATATTAATGGATTAATATATACATGGATGAACGGATTACCGATTTTACGGATTAATGTATAAATGTATTGATGGTTTGGATTAGCGGATTAATGGATTAATATTATAAGGAAACGCTGGTATGCGTTTTTACCACCTAAAATTACTAACCTGTATGTATTTCATTAAAGATGCGCAAAAACACTTTTCTTCTAAAAAAAGAAATCGTTGATTAGATGTACGCTTTGAATGCAGCTCATGAAGCTTTGAATACAGCTTTGTTGCGCCCCCAAGCAATGTCTTGAGTTGTGGTGGTTACAATGAATACGTACATAAGGAATGACATGTTGGAAAACGGGCGAGGGAACGAGTGGCAAAGAGCACAATTCAGAATTCATTCGTGAAATAAAAATTAAATTTAAAGAATGTCAAATCTACTTCGAAATATAAAAAAATAAAATATAATATTTAAAATATAATACAATATTAAAAATAAAAATAAAGCAAACGTGCGTTTAATCTACCAATTCGTCAATAACGTGTCTGCCATTTTTTTTGTTAAATAGTCGTTGCCAATCGCCAGGCTAAATTTATTTTCGAAGTATTTTTTCAAAATTTTCAGTAGGTATTTTTTTGTATTTGCAAGTCGATTTTCAATTTTTAAATTTAATTTTTATTTGGGAAAATTCAACAATTCACGGGTGATTGGCTGTAACATTCATTTAGTTGTGTGGATATTCATATTGTCAAAATGACGTATCACTTGGGACATTAAGTTGCGTACACACTTGCAACAGAGGCTATGCGACGTTATCAGTTACAAGTAGTGTGTATCTATCCTGTCATTCTTGCGGACCTCATGAGGATGAGTGTCAAGTTTGCGCGAAATGTTCTTGAGATTTCTAGTGATTCCTTTCTCTACGAGTAATGGTGTATTTGTGAATGCATTGTGCGGTGAAGAATATTAAAGAGTATCGCAATATCCCGATATTAAATCATTCTGATACGTTTCTGTTTTTTCGGTATTAAATCGTTCCGTAATGTTGACTCTTTTTAGTGGTCACCAAGCTGTTTTGGCGAAAACAATTAATGTCAACGAAGTTTCCTTTCATTACAAAGGAATAATTAGATTTGCGAGGGATATAAAATTTTCAGATCCATAAATTTCAACGAATGGTGAGCAAGGACTGAAATGTTACGCAAAACGTTTAACCTCACTCACCCTAGATATATAGTGTAATTAAATTGCTTTGAGTTTCAATACGAAGAAGTATTCGAAGAAAGCAAAATTTTATTCATCACAAAAAATTAGATATTTTCTTCCTGAAAAATAATACAACAATATGTTACCAATTTTTACGATACCAAAATGACTGTAGAGGTTCGATGCTAATGAATGTCAGGCGCGAAATTTGTTGTAATAAAAATGTAGCATTGTTAGGGGCCCTAGGGTTAGAATGACGGTGGAGATGTTCGACGTTACTTCAACCAGTCTGGGGAAGAATTCTAATGCTGCTAATGATGCTGATCGGTAGTTATCCGTGTTTTCTCCCATTAATACCAGGCAAATGTCGGATCAGTAACCCCAACGAATGAGTCACGGGCCATGCGCGATCTTTCCTTCCTCAACTTTGTCCACTCTCTTCTCTTATGCTTATACATTATTGAATTTGTCAAAATAATTTCTTAAATTATTTGTTATGAAGTTTCTTGACTACTCAAACGTTTTGGACCGGGAGAGATAGCTCAGGACATTAACTGATGACACTGCAGTCCCTCTGGACGGGAGGTCCTAGGATCGAGTCCCGACGGTGGCAACAACATTCGACACTATCCTGTCAGCTAAGTTGAATTCAGTTGCTGTCTGGAGGATAATTCTAGCGGCCGGATGCTCTGATCGGTAGTTTTCCGTGGTTTCTCCGATCAACATCAGACGAATGCCGAAGCAGTACCCTACAAATGGGAGTACCCTAACAAACGGGCCACGGACCGCGCGCGATCTTTCGTACCTCTTCCTTATTCCTTACACATCTTACACTTACCTAACATGCATTTCACTACCACACATGCCGCGAGACCAGACGGTAGCTTGGTATAGAGCTTGTCTCGACTGGAGCGTGACCCGCTAGTGGGGAATACCTAGTTGAGGAAAACCCACTAGCCGACAGTAATTCGGCGTCGGATCTCATCACACAGTGGGGAAAGATCAACGCTAAATCTCGAGAAAAAAGAGACAACAACATTCATTACACTTACGGTACTATAAACTCTTCTACTTGATGTGCCCGGAATCACTAAAAACTCTAAAGTTTTGGGTGAAAATGAGCTTCAAAATGCACATTTTCAGAAACGATAAGCCTTTTCTTAAAAACGGTTCCAATTTTTTCAGTATAAATGTGCATGTAGGGCAATATTTTACTCTTATAAGAAATGTTTGAAGACATATTTTTATTTCTACTCTTAGGTATCCAAAAAATCAAAGAAACATG